AGCAAATTATATTTTAAATAGGATACACCACAAGAAAACTAACCAAACACCTTATGAATTATGGAAAGACCATCGACTTTCTTATAATTACATAAAAGTGTGGGGGTACTTGGCAAAAGTGGCGGTCCCTAGTCCTAAAAAGACTAAAGAACCGTTGATTGTGGATTCATCCGTTATGCAAATAATAGTAGTGTATATCGGTTTTTGGTAATTAAATCAAATATTCCCAATATACATGAAAATACTATTATAGAGTCAAGAAATGCATCCTTTTTCAAACATATCTTTCCTTGGAAAAAGGATGAAGAGAATCAAATTCCTGTAGATGTAGAGACAATTGTTGAACAAGCCGAGTCGTCTGAATTAGAAGAGCCAAGTTCTAATAAACGAACTTTTAATGTCACCATGGAAAGTGGCGAAGACCAACAAGAAGACGAGCCTAGACGTGGAAAGAGACTAAGGACATCTAAATCTCTTGGTCCAGATTTTCTAACTTTTTTGTTAGAAAATGAGCCTCAAAACTTTAAGGAAGCGATGTCAGGTTCTGAAGCACCTTTATGGAAAGAGACTATAAATGGCGAAGTTGAGTCCATTACAAAATTCATTTGAATCTTTTCAAAACTTTTGCAAGAAAAATCAAATTCTTTGCAGGAAAATTTGAATTTTTGAATTCAAATCCAAACCAGTTCTTTCTCTTCCCTTCTTCGGTCACCTCTCTTCACTCTGGCAATTTTTCGATTTGCACCTGCTCGGAGGGTTTCCAAACTCATTCGAACAGTCACCTTTAAGCCTATAAATTCAGGCCTCTGTCCAACAATTCATTCATTCATTTTTCTTCTCTTCTTCAGTGCATACCCTTCTACCTATTTATTCTTTTATTTTTTTCTATAAGAGAGATTACAACATACTCTGTTCGCCAGACCCTAATTTGTAGTATTGCAATTCTGGGATATAGTCGTTGCATCTTGGGAGGTCAGCGTCATCTGTTCTCGAGTACCGTAGTGAGGATGTAACGATATTAAGGAAAGTGTGTCCAACACACGCCTCGACTTTCCTTTATTTTTGCAATTCTATTCATCAATAATCTATAAGTTTTATTTACTTAAATTAATTTACTGTGTGCATTCTTGTTCTAGTTTTATATTTGAGCAAGAAATTTCATTTCTTATTTGTTTTTTGGAAATAATTCTTTTCTAGTCTTCAAAAAAAAAATTACATTATGAAATTATTTTTAGGCTTGTATTGGTGATTATTTTATTTTTAAATATATACAGTTTGCTAGGACAAAGTATATGAAGTATAATTTAATAACAATCACAATGAAAGTAGATGAGAAGTGAAGATTGAGAACCAAGAACTACTTAACAATGAACATTTTCATTATTTAAGATTGATTATCACAACGACTTGGGAGATTGGAGCGGATGAGGTCCACTTAATTAAGGCAAGGTGACGTAAGTAGGGAAGTGCGTCTGGAATACTGTGCGATAAACGAGTACCCATTAGACCAAAATAGAAGTTCTATAGAACAACTATTAGACCAGCAATGTTGTATGGGTCGGAATGTTGGGCAACTAAGAAACAACATGTAGAGAAAATGAGTGTTGCTAAGATGAGGATGCTAAGGTAGATGTGTGACAAGACTAGAAAAGATAGAGTTAGGAATGAGTATATCCGAGAATGGGCAGAAGTAATACCGATAGAAGATAAGTTGAGAGAGAATAGATTAAGAGGGTTTGGTCATATACAACGGAGACCAACAAAGACAGTAGTGAAGAGATGCAATACAGTGACGGTAGATGGTAGTGTTAGGGGAAATGGTAGACCTAAATTGATGTGAACTAGTGTAGTAAAAGAGAGATGAATCTCCTTAATTTGACTAACGAAATGACCTTAGATAGAGTTGAGTGGAGAAAAAAGATTCATGCAGCCGACTTCATTTGATAGGACTTAAGGCTTAATTTGATTTGATTTGATTTAATTTGGTTTGGTTTTACAGTTCACTAATTTAATAAACAGTTTCCTACATACCCTACCACCGTACTAGAATAGTCAACTTATCTCACCCCATTCTCATATCTTTCTAAAGGCATGTATGTCATCCTCTTTCACCAGCTCTCCCTTTTCAAGCAAATTGCCATAACCACTTGCATAATAAAGCTTGATTGGAGTTCTCCAACTTCATGACCCAAATTACTATATGAGTATATAAGTAAAATAAAGGAGTTATTAGATCTGAACCCAAGCCAAAGGCTAGCAATTTTATTAGGCCATGTACACTAGACAACTAGGTTAGCATACACGAATTTCAAATGCATCTCAGATATTAAAGTCAAAAAGCTCTCGTGTTTTTTTTTTCCTTCGCCTGCATCAACTATTGCCATAAAAACCGTGTAGCAAACAAAATGTAACTGCTTACAACAGTGTAATCGGCACGTCGAACATTATTATTATTATTTTGTAGCTAATATTCTCATCCTCTGCTTGTGGGTTGCTCTCGTCTTATTGCTACTAATTAACTGGGCCATACAGTAGTATATTAGTCTTGGCTACCGCAAGGAGGAGCTGCTGAGATCCCCTTCATAGCTACAATTAAATTATGTTAGGAGTAATTTGTATCTTGTGTAAAGAATATACTACCTTCGTGTGTTTTCATATGCACGTAGGCTGACAGGTATATGAAAGGGGTACAGCACTGCAAGGCACAAAATACCACCTGCATGTATTTAACCGTGCAAGGTACCTCCTACCTGGTACAACCACTTGTAGCAGGAGAGAGGGATGTCCTTGCCCTGATCCCATATATTAAGCATATCGTATCACAACGATGCTTGGTAGTATGAATTTTCACTGCTCAAATGGCTCAAATATCTCAAAACGGCATCGTTTTAGAGATAAAATGACGTCATTTTGATACAATTGAACCATTCGGACCACACAAATTCAAATTTCCAAACATTTTTCATTGTATCACAAGGTTTTTCATCTTTATTGCTTTTGTTTTGCATATCATGGTGTAGCTGCTTATGAAGAAGTATAGATTGATGTGGGTATGCTGCATACTTCATTTACATTTATTACTATTATTTCCCGTTGGGCTGTGATTCAGACCCTGAAGAGTGGTCTCTGGTCAAGTGAACATAGCCAAGAATCTACTTTGATTGGTAGGCCTCCTATCCCTCCCCATGGTATCCACCTGTCTTGGTTGGCAGTGATGCTTGGGTCAGGAGTGAAGAGACATAATACAAGGCAGATTGAATGTGAGGAGGGTAACCCCTCCCCCTGCTCAGTTTACGGGCTTTTTAAATTAGTTTTGGATCTTGTGGTTTATCGAACTAGTTTTGAACATGTTATTTGCATAGCTGCAGAACAATTGAACGCCTCATCGTTGATTTTAGCTAGCTGCTCAAGTGTGTAATTTCCTCAACCCACCAAAAATGAGAGAGACGCATCTTCTAGGCCCCAGTTGGTCTGGTTCTGGTACCTTCTAAACCATAAAAGGGCAAACCATGGAAGTAAATTTAGAGAAGATATTTCAAGAATGATATCCAAATTTTGGTTGATGGCAGAAAATTCAGTGACACAATAAGTACATCAAAGCTATCTATTTGCCAGGAATATGATTGACCAAATTGGTTGCTAATAGCTATTCTACTAGGAATCTATTTTTTTTCTAAATATATATATATATATATATTCAATGAAGGAACACTAACATTGTAATATGTTGCCCTCTGCTAACAGAGGTCAGATGTGCAGTAAAAATAAAATAAAAAATCAAAGCTGAGAGATGATTGCCCCACAATCTCTCACTTAAGAGAGAATTGGCACTGTAGTAGGTTTGGATTAGATTGTCGAGCATGATTACATCCTCCCAGCAAGTGTTACAGGGCCGAAAAAATTACTCAAGAACTTGGACAATATCTTCAGTGTAGTAGTGTGCAAACAAAAAATGGACACCAGTGAACATCATCGGATAAAACTCCTGCTCTTTCAAGCCTCTTACCTGCATAAAGAATACAATGCAAGCCAAACCCACAGGAAACACAGCTTTGTTCCAAAAAATAATTAAAATGTACATAATACATACCCAACGATGCACACGAATGCATCATCAGAACTTCTAAAATTACAAAAGGATTCAGACAATTGAAAATTTTAAAATACACAGCCTTTTACATATGCATAGTATTATCACCAAACAATAAAAATGGACCATATCACTTACTCTTAAAATGTATAGGAAGATCTTTCTACGTTACAGATTTGAACTCCAATTCTTTCCTGCCACCCAAAAATAAATAAAGAAATTATTACAAACCGTTATTGGCAAGGTATAAGAACAAATCATATAGGGGTGTGTACCTACAATAAAGACAAGAGGCAAGCATTACATGAGCACGTACACACACAAAAAAGAGCACATTCAAAACTACACCAAGGCGCACATAGAGATGACACACCAACATCACCCTCTAAGATGAAGAAAAAAAAAAAAATGATTGATGATGTTCAATAGTCAACAAGAGAACTCCACCTTATATGCCAAGTGGTATTTGGTTGCTTTGTCAAGCTTGATGTCAGGTTTAAATCCCTCGTCTTCTTAACCAAAAAATTGCCAATGATACAACATTTCTTGAAAGCAAATGCACGCAATACATGCATTTAGCATTCCACTATTGAGCATCAAGTAAAGACCTACCGAATAATATAGCTCAAAAAGGTACCCTACTATATAGGACTTCGTGATCAAACATCATGTGATGTATATCTATGCATAAATATGTGTGCATGTGTGTCAATACATATAGCTATGAACATATATAATTATTATAAAAAATAAAAATATAAGTAAAGAGCTTATTTCAGACAAAAAAAGCAGGAGCTAGTTTAAAAAAATCTCCTGCTTTACCCACTAATATACGAAGGTAATGAAATAAGAGCACTAGAGAAAGGGCCCACCACAGATTAAGCATTCAGTATAACCTTAGCTTTTGCCAAAATCTAAATGCATCATCAACAATTAAGATTGCAACCAAGATATTCAGGTCGGTGTTCTTGCACTACAGTCCCAAGCACACAAACAAGGGCTGTACTAAATCAGCAAAAATCCTTTCTTTAAAGCCATACAAACATTAGAAGAATCCAGTAGAATGGACCAGAGGATTGACTCCACTCTAAAAAAATCCTGCATAAACAATCAAATCATTTGTAAAAATGGCCACAGAAAAACCATAAGGCCCTGGAGACTTATCCCTCTCACATTCAAGCACTGATACTCTCACTTCTTCCTCAAAAGGCCTCTCCAACTATGTTGACTGATAAGCATCAAAAGGGGACCATTCCAACCCCTACCTGAAGAATAAAACAAAGACAAAAACAAAAAAATTCATTTATAATTTGATCTTCCTTATCCACAGCCATCCCAGATTCTGTCTCCATATTTTTTTTTATGAATTTCTTTTTCCTTTTCCCATTTGCAACCTATGACTAATGGTTATCTTGTGTGACCGAGAAAAGGTGATCCAGGAAGATAGCAGGTGTTCAGCTGGCAAAGGACCACTGAAGACAGAGAGCAAGGATGGCAATGGAGAGAGCTTTGAGCTTATGCCAGATAGAAGTGTTGTGGTTAGCATCTCTTTAATGCTTGGGATCCTTTCATAGGGAGATTTAGGATACTGATGTCAACTGGAGGACAAGTGGCATAATTCCCTTGGTGCAATAGGTGGGGATTTTCTACTCCAAGATCTCTATCTTGGGATTTCCCAACCTGGCATCTCCAGATTGGGGATCCCCTTAGTGTTTTAAAAGGCTGTAGGTGCACTGAGGCAATAAGGTCTCCTATACCCTAAGCACGAGGCACGAGGCGAGGCGCGGCGCAGCGTGTGCCTCACCAAAGAGAGGCACAAGTAGTAAAAGAAAAGCAAAATTATAAAATAGACAAACTTTTCAATATAGCAAATATATATAGAATTCCAAAAATAACAAAGCAAGCTTCACCATTTCAAATAATTGATAAACATGACATTCAATCTTCTAAAAACTAGAAATATAATATCTAATAAAAGATATAAGTATCACATTCACATCCACCAAAAATATCAAGTTTTAAGATCATTCGCATAACGTTCAAAACAACTAAGCTTCTAGTTTGCAGTTCAAACAAGATTTTTTTTTTGGATAAATAAAACTTATTGAAAAAGTATCAAAATGATGCAAAGAATACAAAATCCTAAAAATGAGAAGCTAACAATCCCCTAACCAATTACATTATCCAAGAAATCTAGGAAAACAAATACATCCGGATCCACCCTTTGCTCCAACCAACTACACAAAATAACTAACAAACGATTCTCAAGTCACAACATCGAATGATTAATCTCTTGAAACATATGTCGATTTCTCTCCAACCAAACCAACCACATCAAACAAAAAGGCACCAATAACCAAATTCGCCGACGTCGACACCCAACCGGAGCACCACGCCAACACCAACAACATCTCCAAAACCCCCCTCGGCTGCACCCAAACAATCCCAAACACAAGGCAAATAAGCCCCCAGAGCAGGGACACTATAGCACAACGAAGAAACAAATGATTCATGGACTCTGCATCCGCACAACACATACAACATCGATTCACTAATACATGTCCTCGACAAACCAAATTTTCAATAGTAAGATTCCGTCCTAAAACAGCTGTCCACAAAAAGAAAACTACCTCAGATGGAACACCCGACACACAAACACTCCTCCAAGGAAATACCCCTATCACCTCCCCCACCAAACTCCGATAAAAGGATGAAACAAAAAATTGTCCTTTGGTGCCCAAAACATTCCACACAATCACATCCGCCCCCTTACCCATGAAGCCCAACGCATGAAGCCCCCCTACCCATAAAGCCCAGTGCATATAAGAAACACAACATCATAGTTCAAACAAGAAATAAAAAACACTTAATCAACAGTTGGTGTAGAAAAATAGGTAAAGCCAATGAAGCCCACGCCTTGCGCCTCGAAAAAAAGCCCTCGCCTCAACGCCTAAGTTGCGCCTTGCGTATTGTGCCTCGCCTCGACCAGTTTGAGGCGCAAGGCTACGCCTCGTTGCGCCTCGCGCTTAGGCGCAAGCCTAAGTGTGCCTTTTAAAACACTGCCCTTGATATTGGATCTATCCTTCAACCCTTTTGAGTTGACAATGCATGGGGATTCTTACCTTAGCATCTTAAGACATCTTTAGAGATATCAACATATTAGAGTCTTCGTCTGTCAATGCTTCTCTCTCTAAGGCTGGTCAAGGGCGACCATGCCTAAGAGGAGATTGAACACCCTTGAGTGGCAACCATTGACTTTAGCCTCCAATGATCTCGTGTGGAGATCCTACACCTTGCTTCGAACCTAAGTAACTCGTTCAAAGACTAAGGCCCCGTTTGGGGACTGAGTTTTTTTAGCTAAAATGTCAAAAAGTAACAAGAAGTTGTCGCGTCATTCTCTTTACTTTTCTGCACATCTTTTAATAAAAAATCAAAAAACCAACTAAAATAGCCAATTCTCAAACGGGGCCTAAGTGTTAGGCGAATAAACGATCACAAGGAGGATCAATCTCACTTGTTAACGTGGAGAAATCATGGAGATAACCAACTAGAGATCGACTTATGATGATCGTTGGCTTGGGGAGAGCTCGGTCGAGCCTAGGTAAGGTTATCTCAAAAGGGAGATTTGGAGAGGGCGATCCATAGGGAACAATCAGTAAAAGAAGATCCAAAGAGAGTCCTCACATAACAAAGCTAAATACGTGTACCTACAATAGTTCCTTGGTGCTCTTATGAACCACAAAGAGTGTGTCTGCATATTTGTATGATTATCAAGATTGCTTAATGTTCCTAATTTATACTGAACTGTAGACCTCATTTGTTCGTTTTCAACCAAAACACTGTTGAAAAATGTCGTACACATGATGCTTCAAGCAAAAAGGCAAGGGCATCTAAGTCCCGAGTAGAAATAGAGGATTCCTCATGCTATTGGAGAAATTAGAACATTTAGTATGTCCCTCTACAATAATAGATGATTTAGTACAAATAATAGATAATTTAGTCCCATGTGTGTTCACTCTTGCGATCTAAAGAGAGTGCTCACTCACATTGCTTAACCATAGGAGGTTGAATTACTTATACATAGGAAATTCATTGTGCTCTCCGTCATTGTGATGGTTACTCTCTTGTGTATGAGGGCAGCTCTGTCCCCCATTTTTTCTATTGACAGATTTTAGCTCCACCACTCAACCCCAAAGGGTAGCGAGAGTAAGGATACAACCTCACCATGGAAAGGAGCTTAAGTATCACTACACCCTCAGTTAGATAAAGGAGTAAGAACATATGGCTCAACCTTGGAGTGGAGCATAAGTACGATTCCATAGCCAACTTCGGAGAGGAGCATAGCAAATTTGGAGATATGTTATTCTTTGAAGATGCTCACTTGCAACTAAGGTGCTGAGTGCGTTAGTGGGCTAGGCTGTCATGTGGCTTATGTGCCCACGATTAGGCTAGGCTCATAGCCCCAATATAATATCTTTCTGAAAGAAAACTCAAATACGGAGTCAATAAATATCAGTTGTAATACTTCGAGTTTTATTCTCATGTAATGCTCTCATTACTTGCCTATTTGAAAGAATTTATTATCTGGGTTCTCGCTGAGCAAGGAATGATTTAAATTTGGCCGCACAAGCAGTTGTTTAGCTCCTCATGTGCATCTATCTTAGGCATAATGACTTGACACTTCAAGATACTAATCAATGGAGATGTATTGGTGTCACCACTTCGACATACCAATCGCCGAAGATCTGTATAGTGATGCAGTAAAATAAGCATCTCTAAATACTAGTGTCATTAGTTGGTTAAGTGTCCCATTAACTGTGGTTGCTAATGATCTCAGTCTATAAATAGATGATGCAAGGATCACTGTACTTTGTTTTAATTAAAGAAAATAAATATTGATTAGATCAAAGTGCTTTGGTTTCTCTCTAACCATAGGGGTTAACCTTAGGTTAGAGGCTTTGTTCTCTATTTCTCTCTTTCTTGATTTTGAATCCTATTGCAATTTTGTTTTGCATTATTGATATCAGAGCTCAGGGTTCATGTCCAATTTTGGTAGAAAACTAATTGCAAGAGCCAGAATACATTGTGATCAAGACTGATCTTTGATCGAAGTTGCGACTCTGTATGAACTGACGATTGAACCTCGATATTGTTATGTGATACTCTTTCAGACTTCCATTTCAACTTCGCATCGAGCTGTATACATTACATACGTATATAATTTCCGGCAACCATAACTTGGCAAATTATACAAACACCAAATACTGGTTGTGGTGATGCCACCAGAAAAAACAAAACATGATTCTTTACGTTAAAACAAATTCTCCAAATGTAAAATCAGTGACAAAAAACAGTTAATACTCTTGCGATTTACATTTTGGATCGCAAATTCTGAAAACACATTGGTTCCAAAAGGTGACTTTAGTGATCCAAGCAATCCTAAAATTATATCCTATGCATTTACTTCAAAGTTTTCCTAGTGAGGAAAAAATTAAACATAATAAACTAAAATCAAAAGAGAGTATAGTTTTAGCATGATAGAATGTAAACAAAAAAAGGCCTTAATGCCCCTAAAATTGTGTTTTTTCAATGGTTAATTTCAAGAATCATAAACTATATATCATTAGATGTCTAATTTTTAAAAGAAAATTGCTCTCAAATTGAAAAATATGTTAAATTCTACTAGTGTGATCTATAAAAGCCTACCCCTATCACACATTAATACCACATTTTAGAGCATGTGACATGCCACTTTCCCATTCCTCATTTCTGAACGATCCATTTTATAGATTACATAGGATAAAATAAAAGTTGGTCATGATGCCATCACTAAGAACACAACAAGATTGAAAACTTTACATCTCATAATGTAATGCATATTTCCCAATTATATGCAAATCTTTGCAAAGAATTAGAGTTATCATATACGTATCGGATACAGATATGCGTCCGATACAGCGGGATACGTATCAGATAGGGCAAATAAGTATCCTATTTAATTTTTTATTTTTTCTAATTTTGGATATAGGAGGGATACGCGAAGAATACGCAAGGGATACAAGAGAATACGTGAGGGATAAACAAAATAAGTATCCAATTTATTCTTTTCCAATCTTGTTCTTATTTTTTATTTTTTATATTTTAATACACCAAATATGTATCTAATTTTTTTTCAATTTTTTTCTTATTTTATATTTATATTTATATTTATATTTTTTCAAAGGTCAATGGTCTCTCCTTTCTCTGTCTCTTTCTCTGCCTCTTC